CATGAGCTAGGAAACGAACCACAAACAGTCTTCGAACAAAAAAATTACATATAATGTTTCAATAATAATTGCTTATCGTTTAGGACATCATCAAATTTGCCATGCATCTGCTGAGATGGCTTCTTGTTGCGTTACCAGCAACCTTCATCAATAGTTTGATCAGATACTTCGAAAGTATGTTGGGACTGGCATTCCGATCTCGACTTACGCAGCACGCTTACAAGGAGTACTTCTCGGTAAGTGATAGCATCAGTTGAAATTGGCATAGAAGTTCGTCGAAAAATCGAATATTCTTGGTGAATTCTCAGTGAACTTGCACCCTATATTGTATCATTTATAGAACTTTATAGAACAAGACATACTACACAGTCTCCAATCTTGACAGCCGGCTACAGAATGCTGATCAATGTCTCACCGAAGATATAACCATGTTCAGTCAATCGGTTGCTCACCTTTATTCTCACCTTACAAAACCAATCTTAGATGTTGCGCTCATATCGTAAGTGAATCATAGTCCAACTCAATGATTGAAGTAAATTTCAATTTTTGCAGGTTCACTCTAATCAGGATTGCCACAAAACGTGGGGCAGGAGGTAGTGTAATGGTGCCGAGTATTCTAGCCACTCTGGTCATTGGGGCTACCGCAACTCTATTGAGGAAGATCTCACCAAGGTATATAACTTAGATATTGGAACTGAAAGTTCAGCAGCACAAACAAATGTGTCGGGCTAGTAGGGTTAGTGTTTGTAGAATTTTTTCTTAATTACTGAAAAATCAAGTTATGAATCAGAATCGACAAATAGTAAATCAAATCAAATCAAAGTGTTGAAAATTTTTAACTAGACCTGATCCAGTACCCACTTTTATTCTTGGTTCCCTTAAAACGGCATTTTCTTCGCAGCTACATTATAAAAGGAAAGCTATGGAAATTTCTTGGGAAAATGACACAGGAACAATGATGTCCAAATTCTCTACGAACACCCTCTCCTACGATTTTCACATGCCACGAGATATAGGAATTATTGTCAAAGTTTTTGCGAAACTATTGCTTCAGATTCGGAAGCATGGTTGCAGAGGAAGCTAGAAGGAAAGGCCATCTTCGATATCTTCATTCTCGT